GGCTAACATTAATATTCATTGGAAAAAAAAATCTTCCTCCAAATATAACAAGGAATCTTTTCTTATGGACTCAAACAAGTTTTGCTGAAAAACTGAATATGGAACAAGCTTAATACTAAACAATATATATAACTTATATAAACGTATATATAACTTAATATTGCACACATGCAAAATCAAAATTCCAATTAAATAACACATCAGTGGAATTCATTTCTTAAATAAAAAATGCATTTGCAGCCTTCTGAATTAAATTTTTATCATTTTATCATTTATCAAATTTTCATCATATTCTCTCACCTGTCCAGAAAGCTCCTGTTTTCTGCCTTTCTTTTTGCCATTTTGGGATGGGTAGCATGGCAGTATTTGCATGGTTGCTATGACTATGGTCAACAGAGGAGAGGGTGCTAATGGGTCCTGTCATGACTGATGTGGCAAAACACCAACAGAGCATTCTGGGAATTGTAGTATTAGCAGTACATGCACTGTATAATACTGGCAGGCCAGCTCTAATATTAATTTTGTATGGCTTCGCGGGCCAAATGTAATTAGGCTGCGGGCCAAATTTGGCCCGTGGGCCAGAGTTTGACACCTATGCTTTAGAACCTCCGCTTCGTTTTCTATTGATTGTTGTGTTTTAAGTCTTATTGCACTAAAGAGCTAGGTGAGCTCGTTTATGCACTGAGAGATTCTGTGTCATGTGATATCAGTGATATCTTTCTTAGAACATTTTGATTTATCAAAACTGTTAAAGCTGCTCTCTATGTTTGAGTGCAGTCAGTGAAAAAAATCCACAAAAAGTTTGTGTAGTTTCATATATTGCCCTCTGTTATTATTATATTTGATTTAAGTTTTGTTATTAAATATGTTTTGTCATATTAAAGTTATCCGTTTAAGCTTCAGTCTGTTTAACTTTATGGACATTTTGTTTGTTTGTTTGAATGTTTGTTTGTGTTTCATGGAAAAAAAGAAACAAAGAATCTATTATTTTATTTAGATTTTTTGGAATTGATTTTCTCAGCTACATAAACAGGATCGATCTTACGTATTATAATTATTGATGTCAAAATAACATCGAAATAAGTAAAGTCCAACAGAGGGAAGAGTGTGCCATTCTTACAATTATAAATGATTTATTTTCTCAAACTTCTCAAGAAGCAGCAACAACATCTGTAAATTATGGAGACTGCAATGTGTCGTTCATTCTGTTGGTCCCTAATGTGCAAACTAGGGTAATATTTAGGAAGAAAAGTGAAAAAAAATTGTCCTTTGTGTTTTCATATTTAGTTTAAAACTTCATCTCATCATCCTGGGTTTGTTCTCTTTGTGTTTCTTGGAGCCCCAGTCTCACCTACATTGGTCCTTTGTCTTCCCATGCTCCCCATTTTAAGTTAACTCTTGTTTCCTACATTCAGTTGTGTCCTCCTGTTTTATTGTGGTAACTGGGGCTTACTGTGACATGCATTGTTTATTTTCCCAGTCTCATCAGTAGTTTCCAGTCATGTGTCCCACCTCTTGCCTCTCCTCTCATTATCTTGTACATTGCCACTGCATCCTGTTATTATGCCGTCTCTCAACTCTCATCTTCTCTCTTGTGTCGTGTTTTTCCTTCGTCTAGTTTAGTATTTGTATTCCTGGCTCCAGTTCAGCTTAGCTTGTGATTGTATTCTTTGTTTTCCTGTGTGTTGCAGTAATAAAGCTGCCCTCTAAGTTTGCCTTCAGTCTCTGGAGATCGGGTTGTGCTGTTTGGAGGCAAAGTTAGAGAGGCGGGGATGAGATCGTTTTGAATGGATATATGGTGGATATATAGGAATAAGGATGTTGCATATGTAGGAGGAAAAAAGAAAGACCAGAGAGAAGGTTCATGGATGAAGTAAAGTGAAAGAAGCTTAATGTAACATTAGGGGATGCTAGCGATAAGGTGAGATGGAAACAGATGAGCTGCTGTAGTGATCCTAAAGAGAAAGAAGATCAGAAAATAACTATGCTAACTATAATAACTTTTCCCCCCTTGACCATAAAATTTAACTGTAGTTAAATTAGTTATTCAGAATAACTAATTTAACTGTAGTTAAATTAGTTATTCTGAATAACTAATTTAACTGGCCTACTTTGTATGGACTAAATTTCTAGTTTCCTTTTACTTACACTTGAGTAAGTAACAGGTGTCACATTTGCAGAGTGCTGTGAGTGAGAAAGATGAGCCAGATGGTGTAAACAGACTGCTTAAACAAAGTGATAAGATTTATTGTAGCTCTGACAATATAACAGTGAAATAAATATAAAAATAAAAAGAACAAACGAAACTCCATGAACAGCGCGAGGGGAAAAAAAGCCCTGAGCTATACATGACTAAGTATGACAGGAAATAAATAACAACCACACTGTAACAAGGACAAAAAGCATATAAGCACAGGACAGATGCAGGACGAGGAGAAGAAGGGAAGCGCAAGTAAAACCTTAACAAAAAGTTTTCACAACACTAAAACATAAAATACCATTGATCAAATAAAATCGAAACAGTTAAGAAAACTACAAGAAAACAAACAAGAGCACCTAAAATAAAAAATATAAAGGAAAAAATGTAAAAAAAAAAAAAAAAAAAAAAAATTGTACAAGACGTTGTACTTCAGCTTTTTGTCCTCCTTTCCATTTCTTAAAAAATGGCATCTTGATCGTCACCTTTCCATACGAACCTCTTCTTAAGTTCAAAATTTCAGTTTATTCAGTGCTTAGTGAACATATCACTGTATGTTTATGATTACATTTAGCTTAAAGTTGATCACAATACGGTCTTTAATCTCCTGTCTTACAAAATAACATACAGGAGAAATATATACAAACAAGAGAAATATATGCATAACAACAGAAGGTACAAATACATGCAAGAATATGGACTGCACAGCAATACCAATGCTTCATAAAGACTTGTAGATAACTAAGAGGATCTGTTCAAGCTTAGTGCATCATTACAACACAAATGTAAACACACACACACACACATATATGTGTGCACATTGCTGTTCTAAACTGAGCCCGTCACTGTTCACCTGTTGAGATAAATGTCGTGACTGTGTGGTTTCCCAAAATGAAAAAACAAGATCAATTTGTTGTTTCCTCACTGTCAGCAAGCTGGAACCCTGAAATATGGATGAGAGATTCAGAATAATGAAAATAAAAATATTTTCTAGGACTCTCATGTTATACGAGTACATACGTACATACATCATGAGGTTAAGTGGAAAAATCAGCTGTATCTCACCATGACTGTTTCTTTTCCAGATAAAGAATCCAAAGACTGCCAGGAGGAGTAAAACTCCAACAGCAGCTCCAACAACAGGACCCACAGGAAACTCTGAGAGAGAAACTGAAAAGTCCCACAATGTGGCTTCATTCACACAATTAACAAAGGAGCTTCCAATCTCAATGCCTCAGTTCTGAGAGTTCATATTGGACAAATGGTCTGTATTTGTATAGCACTTTACTTGGTCCTAAGGACCCCAAAGCGCTTTACACTATACACAATCATCCACCCATTCACACACTGGTGATGGCAGCTACATTGTAGCCACAGCCACCCTGGGGCGCACTGACAGAGGCGAGGCTGCCGGACACTGGCGCCACCGGGCCCTCTGACCACCACCAGTAGGCAACGGGTGAAGTGTCTTGCCCAAGGACACAACGACCGAGACTGTCGGAGCCGGGGCTCAAACCGGCAACCTTCCGATTACAAGACGAACGCCCAACTCTTGAGCCACGATCGACCCTATTCTTCTGGACAAGATACTGTCACTTTTTTCTTCTGTTAGTTGATTGGTTTGTTATTCACAGGGTGCAAATGAGATGGTGTAATGTGAATCTAGGAAAGAACAAGTCTAAAAATATACTTTGACAACTCAGGGGGTAAAAGAAAAATAATCATACTTTGTAAACAGCCACACAGCTCCACACTCCTGTTCCTCTTTCTCCCTAAAGCCTAACCCAGACATCATTTTATTGTTGTAACATTCATCTGTGATAATCCAGCAGTATTTGTAGGATACATAAATTAAATAGGAGTTGTCTTGAACTATGAATCGTGTAAAGCTACTCTAGCAGGTTTGTAGAATAAAACAAAATCCAGCTGGAAATGAGTACAAGAGTTCAACTTTGACATATCTGGCTACGTGACATATAGAGAAGACAAAGACACCACAGCTACAGTATTTTAACAGCAATAACATGACTTGTGAGCCTGTCTTACCACTGTTGGTTTGGATCACTTTTTTGTCCAGTTTGGTTATGATGTCTGTCTCTGCACCGGCGAGCTGGAACACACAGTCGTGCCTGCTCCAGTCCTCTGGCTTGATTGATGAAACATTCAGCTGAACACTCATCTGGAAGCTGCCGTCATGGTTGGGGAGGATCTGTCCTTTGTCCACACCATCATGAAACTCCTCTTCATCTTTCCTCCAGAACATTCTGGCTCTGTGAGGATAGAAACCTGTAGCGTGGCAGCTGACTACAGATGGACTCCTCTGGAGGAGAGAAACTGAGGGAAGAACTGTAAAGCAAATGAGTCTTAACTGAGACAGATGTTTCGAACAGATGTCATGGGATCATTTTTTCATTTTCACTGGAATGTTATTGTGGATTAGAGATACAATGGGTACATAACATATGTCTGCACAGACTAAGAAATATAATCCTACCTGATCTCTGCAGAAAGCTTCTCCCATATTTCACATACTTCTTCAGCCAGCCGGGGCACCTGTTGATGTAGTAGTTCTTGTTGTGCTCTAATCGAGCTTTTTCAGCATCCCATTTCAGTTTTGTAATGACAGCCTGTGGTTTGGGAGCGATCCATGTTAGCGTTTGCAGGTCCAACGCTATGAAGTCCTCACCATTGTAACCGTACTGATTAAAACCTTTAATTTCTTCAGTCTCATCATCCCATTCACAGCCATTCATCCTCTGTAAGATGTAAGGACCTGTAAGGAGTGATTGAAGCAGAACCAAATGTCATAAGTTGATTATCAGAGGTGGATTAAATTAGTTTTTGACTAATATAATCATTACAATATATATATATATCGGGCAGGAGAACAATAAAGAAAATGCTGTGCAGTCCTAGACTACATGGGACACTGTGAGGTTGTCACGGACACTTAGATGGAGATTTTAGTTAATGGGCATAAACATAATCAGAGCCACTCTTGGGCAAGAATGGCATTGCATAATGTAAATCCATACAGCAGTAAATAATCTAATAAAACTACCAGAACTTCTCCATGAATATCTAAACAAAAAATACGTTTTGTTATTTGGACTTGGACAGATTTGTACGGAGCCCCGCAGGGGACATGGGAGAAAAAAAAATTAAGACGGACTTTTGCGAGATCTCGCAAAACTAACTCGGGATCTCGCAAAACTTTTGCGAGATCTCGCAAAACTAACTCGGGATCTCGCAAAACTTTTGCGAGATCTCGCAAAACA